AAACATTCCACACTTTGACATCATATCTGGCATGCCTCCTGACCATATGCACAATGTACATCTTGGTGTGGTTAGGCAAATGGCAAGTCTGTGGCTGGACATTGAAAACCATGAGAAACCATATTATACTGGGAACAGAGTGACTGAACTTGATCAACAGCTCTTACTAATTAAGCCACCTTGCAATGTGACAAGAGTGCTCCGATCTCTTCAGCAAAGGAACTGGTTACTTTTTTACAGTATCGGAAGTATAGGAATTTTGCCCCAGGTATTTTACCAGTGCTGGTTAATACTTGTCACATTCATATTCTCGCTATGCAAGGACATTATTACAACAGAGGAATTAAAAGGATGTGAAAAGTTGGTTGTAGATTTTGTCAAACAATTTGAAACACTGTATGGAAAGCAAAATGTGTCCTTCAATGTACATTTATGTCTTCATTTGCCTAAATCTGTAAAGAACTGGGGACCTTTGTGGGCACATTCAGGATATATTTTTGAATCATTTAATGGGGAAATACTAAAAATCTTTCATGGCACTCAGCGTGTTCCTTTACAGATAATGAATGAATTCACTTACAAGCAGGTATTGCCTCTTTTGAGAAATGTTGCACTGAAAAATGTCATATCTGAATGCATCTTAAATCTGAGCGCATCCAAGTTTATAACCACTTAACTGGTCAAATAAGACTGAAGCAGTTTGAAAAAGTAGCAGATCAGGTTGTTACCTTTGCTTTACATTATTCACGAAAACTTACATACTGGGAGTGAGAGAGAGCAACTTTCAGTCACTGTCGATACAGTTGTGAAAATATTCAGTAGACTTCTAGTCAGAGGACAACTATATTACTCACAGGAGTTTACCAGAGTAGTAAAAAGGAACAGTTTCACTGTTTGGTTACAGAATGGACACATAATGTTACGTCCGCGGATCAGGCCGTCCCCGGCACCTCGGCAGCTGTTACCGGAGCTATCAGCGACTCCACCCCTGCTCACGTAGGGACACGCTCCCAGCGACGAGGCACACCTGCGCTTAATCAGCTGAACTATACTTAAACGCAGCGCTGGTGTGTTCTCGTCGCCAGATGATCTCTCAGTCTTCTACCGGTGACGTTGCGTGTTTCACGTCCTGGATCCTGATGTCTACTAAGATCATCCTATCCTGTTTTATTGGTGTTATTAAACTGTGTCGACTTGAGTGAGTGTCTTTGCCTTGTTTATGTTTTGTGAACGGATTACTGAGGAGCCCTTTACGTTTTTGTCTGATTACCAAGGAGTATCTTCTGTTATTTCATGAACTGACTATTGGAGAGATCTTATGTTTAATTTTTGAACACATTACCAAGGAGTATCTTCTGTTTATTTGGAACTGATTACGGAGGAGTGTCTTATGTTTTGAACTGCTGCCTGATGCCGCCTATGTCTCCGTGGGCCTTGCTGCCGAGCGACGATAGTTGGTGGGGGTCCATATCCAGTGCCTGGGTCAGTTAAATCATTCTTTTCCCCACTGTATTCATATTCTGCTTTCTAAATCTATTTTTCACTCAGTTGAAAGGATAAGAAAAGGAGTGTGAGAACTATGAGGCCATGCAAAGACTGAAAAGTGACACTGCTGTCTCCATCACTTAAGAGAACAGGACCGAATGGATCAGTGGTGTGACCAGGAGAAGACCAGCCCTTGTGCTGCTGGCACTGTTGCAGTAGTCACCCTGACAACAACTGACTTCTGCTCCAATGACTCCCGAAACCTGAGAAATTTGTGGGTTTGAGCAGATTGACGTGGAGGCACAGCCCTTCATGGTGACCTTTTCACCTCCTACAGCCACTGAGAGAATGAAAATGATGTCAATGTGTGAACATCAAGTTTAAATACATCTGCTGTCATCATACAACACTCCTTGTGGAATTGGAGTTACTCTAGGCCTGTTACCTGTTGTTTTAATGCAGTGGTCCTCATTGTCCTGGCAGTTTAGAAGTGTGTTGCAGTTTTGTCCATCACAGGCAAAGCACTTTTTACCATTGGCACTGGATGTGCCAGGGTCTATAACAGAGAATGGACATGTTCATATTGTTGGAGGGGGAGGGCATGATATAACTGCAGTGCAGTGCACTGTTCTTCTTCAAATGCCACCTGAGAGTATAAGAGTTCTATCAATCAAGGTGTGAAGATAATTTATGAGGGTGGGGGTGACGTCACAGTTTTTCAGAGCAGAGCGACACCTCCACAGCCTAGAGTTATTACGTCATAGGATTATTTAGTACACCAGGTCGGACCACCAGCACACAGATATAGGGACTGGCTGGAGAGCTACATGCATGTGGGCAGGATGTTTCTGATCCTGTCACTTGTAACACAAGGAAAGTTGGGGATAATGAGCCTGAAGTACTCGTGTTTTTGGTGGAATATCTAATGGACGTTATTCTTCATTAATCTAAGGATTGTTTTTCACTACTCCTGGGACGGGATTCACCAGACAAACACCTGGGAACTATCATCGGTTGTAGGCCCGGTCCACAGTGTTGGGTGTAGCACTAAGGCCAGTGCAAAGCGGTTACAATATGTACGATACAGAACAAAATACCACAGCCTAACGTTACCTGCATATGAAATGAGTCGTACTGCACCACACTGATAAGCTGATGAGGGGCATTGCATTGTTGTTTCTGTGCAGGTTCCCGTGAGTCCCGGTGCACATTGATAACATTTCAGAGTGTATCCTGACAAAACACAAAGCTCACATAAATTAAAGAAAACAAGAAGCTGACAAAACATTTTAACACATCTAAATGAATCTAAAATATAAACACAGCTACAAAAGTAGATCATAGGCTGTGAGGGTGGATGCCAAGTGGAGTTCTAAGGTGTTTCAACATTTAGAGGCCAAACAACAAAGAGGAGCAGCACTGACGAGGGAAAGTAACCAGCATCACCTATCTTTAAATGGCCATTGTATAGCAGCATTTATAAAGGAAAACTGGTCAAACTAATTATGAGTCCTTTTCCTAAGAGATAACAGTAAAACAATGGCACAACAGAAACTTGCCTTTAGGGAGAAGCACAATCCCAAAGATCAGCGTAAGGAGAAGCATTTTGTCACAGCAGGATACAACTGACTGTTATCTATACTGTAGCTCCCTGAGAGGAAGTGGTTATCACCCTGAGACCACTCCCTACTGCTCCTTCATGTGATAGTGACAACATGTGAAACTTTAAAAAGCCTAGAGAGTTTTCTTGAAAATGAAACTGAATATTATGTTAGCTTTTCAGTGTTTTATTTTAAGCATATTTTTAGCATTTCTGATAAGTGTGTAATAGCTACAGTATAAGAACCACAACAAAGAGATCAAATACAGGCTACATATTTCTGTTTCTGCTTTTGGTTTTGCATGGTGTGTTTAGTGTTTGTGTGTGTTCGCTATACTCCCATTGGCATCTCTAGTTATGAGTTGTCACTAGCATCTGCCGAATTTCCCGATCTCCCTGCAACGTGCTGCTCCCGAGTGCAGTGTCTGTCTTCATGTCCCTCACTGCATCACTTGTATTCCTCTCTGATTCTTCGGACCTCTACTGTGTGACGTTAGTGTGGCACTCCCGTGTGCTTCTGTTATGCCATCGGCACCCACCCATTTCCCCAGAATATGCTTCAGTATCTCTGAGATTCAGTGGATTACCTACCATCACCAGTCCGCTCACCTGCATGCCTTGATCCTCCTGTTACCTGTCGCCATTTCACCTACCTGTCCTGGTCTCTGCTGCCTCCCCATCGAGCCGCTGACTCCTCCTGGTTCTCGCCCGATCTGTCCTCTGTTGCCCGCTGCTCTTCCAGCTAGATCTACACCTGTTCGGCCTCCTAGGTCACTAAGATGTTCTGTAAATTATTTAATAAACTCTTTTCTGTTGTCATTCCTCCTCCCCCTTACGAAACAAAAATATATTGTATAATATAATGCAATGTATTAAGCTTGCTTGGGACCATAGTACTGTTGGATAACTTTTCACCACACACCAAGCACAACGGAGTCGGTGCCGTTGCATCCCCGGGGAAAGTAAATCCAAATAAAAGGTAGCTTTCGCTGTATTGCCTCGAGCTCACCGTCTTTGTTTTCTTTTGACCTCCACTCATACTAGGGCCTTCATCTGGGTTCGAATTTTGTCCAGGGCCCAGTTCGGAGTTAACATTTTTCCTTTTCAAAAACTTCTCCATAGTCCTGCTATCCACAATACTACTGCCACCGCTACCTGTCACATACATGTCATGCATCACTAATTCTCTCGTCTCAAAGTACAATCAATCAACACAGACAGACAGTAAAACAGCGGAGTCCAGGATGTTGTCATTTAGCCATGTCTCCCTAAAGATGAAAACACAACAGTCCCTCGCATCACGCTGCGCAGATCTCAAGTGCTGTATGTGGTGGCTATTTTGTTGTCCAGTGAGCGTACATTAGCCATAATGAGGGATGGTATTGCGGGTCTGTGTGGGCTAGCTGCTAGCCTAGCCTTGACACCTCCCCATTTGCCCGGCTTCTGTTTACGCTCACACTGCTTCCGACACTTCCTCTTAGGGACGGCAACGTGGTCCTGGGAATGTGCGTCGTCTCCAAGATGTCTTGAACTTAAGTTGCAATACACTGGGTAATCCCGAAACACATTTTGAGCAAATTGGAATTACAATCTCAAAAAGCTCTCTGTAGTTTTATGGTTGATGGATTACGAGACAACGACCCCTGGGCACAGATTCAGTTTGTACATGGCCCCCACTCCTACATTTCCAGGAGCAAGACTCAGAGTGAGCAACCATGTGATTACTAGTCAGTCTGGGTCCACTGGTGGTTGTTCTGCATGTGATTTTAGCCATTTTACCCCAAGTCTGATTTTAATGACTAAAATGTTTACTAAAGAAGACCAGGACAGCGTTCACATCAAATATTTAGTGTGCAAAATGTAATTTACCAGCACATCCTCTAGAGCAGGGGTCAGCAACGTCCGGCCCGCGGGCCAATTCTGGCTCGCCTGATGAATTTTGAAACGTATTTATCTGAGTCACACGAACAGCATCCAATCCTTTATGTTATTTTATGACTATTAATGAGTTCAATTTGACACTTTCAAAGGTTCACTGTGAGTCGCTCTGTAACCCCTCCCTTCCTCTCCCGCACTGTGCTGCAGCTTGCGGTGACAGAACGGCTTTGTGTTGTGTCACTGCCGCACTCGCATCCATGAAGCTGAGCATATAAATTAAATAAAGGACATATTCAGACACTTTCTTTATCATTATAACGACTTAATTATTATTATGCATTTGTTTTTATGAACAGTGACCACTGCTTCATCTGGAGGACTTTTGAAGCGGAATTCAACGTGATACTAAAAGACAAACAAAGAACGGCCAATATGAGCACTAAAAAAACGGATCGATAACTACAACATTTGAAAGACTCAGTGGGAAAACTGGTATTTCCCTTCTTTCACCATTTTCTGTGTGTCTGGTGTTAGAGATGTCATTTTAATGCGCAGGGCATTCTGCAAGTTTTTATGCGTCACTCGGTTTCTCTCCTGCGTCTTTATGGCATTCATTGACGAGAAAGTTGCCTCACAGGTGTAGGTGGAAGGAAACACAGTAAGCACATAAAAAGCAAGCTTCTTGATTGTGCTGTAATCCTCAGAGCACGCAATTCTTCTTTATATGTCCTGTTTTCGTTGTCAACTTTCCTCTTTAGGCCTTTTGAAAGCGACGTCGTTTGCTTGCTAGCTTAAATGTGGAGCCAATTGTAACTACGCAAATAGCGACAACAACATTGCAGACGAGGGGGCGGGAATAATATTTCTTTATTTATGTAATTATTTTATTAGTTTATTTATTTACTTTTACAAGTCAGAACAATGCATATATATATATAAAACCCTTAAATTGCAAAATGTATTGATATAATATTGTGACCGTAGTAACTTTTAGTAGTTCCCCAAGAATAACACCCCTCCTGTTTTCAGAGGTCAAGTTCATGCAAATGTTAGGATTGGATTTCAGGAGTTACAGTTGTTTTATTTACTGTTAGTATTATTTTGCTTTTATAATGATAAAGTTTAGTATGACTGTTTCATTAACAGCACCATGTATCAGTATTAACCTCGCTCTTATACATGCACTATAGTTATAATTTTCAGCTTCGAGTCAACTTGTAGTATTTCTCATCTTCTTGGATAATTGTGCAAGAATAGATTGCATAGATAAATGTCGTTCTGGAAACTATAGATAAGATACTATTAATTTATGCTATTTTACAGACGTGAAGTCTGACGGGCTTGAACTGTTCACTCAGGTCTGAAGCATGAGTAAGGGGTTTTTACAACAGAATCAGGGAACAGGTTAAAAAGGCACCATTAAATAAACACCACAAATCAATTAATCACACATCAACCAACCAAATGTAAGAGGGCCTTGCCTCCCTGTGCATAAAACCATTCACACACTGTTCACACCATAAAATTGACTAAACCCTATTTGGAAACAATACAATAAATAGGGAACATAATGCTAGGTAAACCTCTTAGCATAAAAGCAAACAAGGCAAAACATTACATAAGCAAAACAGCAGTGGCTATCACCCCTGCAACAAATAAAGCCACTGTTAATAAATAGGATAGAAACCATCAAAACAATTCAAATCAACAGCGCTACAGGTTACCTTGGCTGCACGTCACCCTGGCACAGCATGTGCGATGACACCAACCTCTGCTGGATCACGCTTGCATCGATTATCTCTCCCGAAGAGCATGCAGTAATCCCCTAAAAACAGTCTACAACCAAACCAACCTGATTAAACACTGTACACTGCAACAGATCCGATCTACGACCAGTCCGTTGAACACACCTTAAAGGAGAAGCAGGACACAGATACGATGGAAGGAGATTCATTTCAAACCAGTTACGGCAGCGACCAGCACGGAAATTGCTTATCGCAACAGCATCTCCCCAGGTGTTATTTATCGCCATGATCATTCCTAAAAATTACTCACCAGGCGGTGTTGGCGTGGCCAACCCGCCGGTTACAATATATTGATGGCCCGCCATCTGATGACATAGGAAACAATGCCCCGAGGCAACGCCAACTTGCCGACCCCTGGTGTAAGCCATGCATAATGAATACCTTTTAGGAGCCTTGGTATTCTAGTCACAGCAGACCCGGCCCTAATAATAAACACATGATTTTAAGAATAAAATAAAATGAAATCATATAAATGAAAAACCTAGAGATACATGCATGATGTAGACTATACTGTATAATATACAATGTACTTTTTCTGATACATATTATATAAGTAATTAATATATTAGTAACAATTTCAATTTTATTGTCATTACAGTGAAATGCTAATTAGCAGAATGCATTGCAAAGAATGAGTAAACTGCAGTATAATATACCATGTGGGAATGCTAAATTATGCTCTAACATTAATGATGTGCACTTTAACACTGTTAAGTTTAACATGATAAACCCACTTTAGACAGTATGAACTGTAACACAACAAACAGCTAGGCTTACAACTATGGAAAATGAAGAGCATTTTGATTGACTATTACAAGCTGAGAAAACGGCAGATAACCATGTCAATGCAATTAACGTTATAACACCTGATGAATAGATCTAATATTTACACATTTGCCCGAGGAGGAATGATGGGGGTAGTTACATTACTATTTTCCATAACAACTAGGCCCTTCCATAACATTATCTGACGACGTTAACAGATAGATAGCGCTAGCTATTTATTGATTAGCAAACCATGTTGTTATGCTAATTGTTAATGGCGATTATGGCGTTATCAGTCATCGTTTGGAAACAGCAAAATAATATCATTGACATCATCTTTACTGTAACATTACTTCTGTCTTTGTCGAGTTTTTCTAAATGTGACAAGGTCTAAATGTAAATGTTAAATATAAATGTACATGTTAAATGTTAAATGTAAATGTTAAATGTCTCGCCAAGTGTAAAACTTAATATTTAGTAGCTCCACAGCCTTGCCCTATTACAGCGCAGCACACCTCAAACCCAGAGTCAGGTGTGGGCGGGGCTGTGTTTGAGGTCTTTGAGTCATTATCACTGATTCGAGTTCAGCATCATGGGCGGGGCTGTGTGCTACATAGTAGAGGAACACTGATCAAAACTTAAAAATAGCCAACACTGAAGTTCATCGTGTTTTAATCATACAGTTTAATATTTTCTTGATGACTGGTATTTTGTTCATATCACAGAACGCTGAAATGGTACCTGGAAAATCTGTCCCAGAATGACTTCCTGTAAATATAACAACAACAATTATAAAACTACAGAACAGAAAATGTCACAAAGAGAGCTTACGCTAGTACTACAGATCATCTACCTGG